CAGAAATAGTCTTTATTATTACTGCGTAATAATACCACACAACACAATCCAGAGACACCAGCAAACACAGAGGATTATACCAGAAGGGTCACTTCACAAGTCAATGCACAACTGCATGCAACTGCCTGATAATCCTGGATTTGACCAGGGTTTATATACTGCCCAAATCCGGGAAGGGGAGGACGGAAAGTTCTGGAAACTGCGCAGTTACGATCACGTGATTGTACACGTGCTTCGGGAATAACCGCGGAGGGGGGAATCCACAAGTTTGCGACCAATTAAACTGGTACATGCGTGCATCGTATCTGGGTCAAGAGGGGCGCGCCTGTCAGTGATTAATTGGTTCTTGGAATTGGAAGGAGTCCAGAGATGATTATAATATTATACATTAATATTCTAATTTATTATCTCATCCTATTCCCAGTCTTTCTCTTTCTTTCTCGCTGATGTGCGAGCGCTGCCTTTTGGCAAGCTCTCAAGAGAACACATGCGCATCTCTAGAAACGCAGGCGCGTTTCACAGCAAATTATTATCGGGGAATTTCCACCGATAACAAGCTAAAAAGACACTCAACTATTCCTTTTTATCTCTGACCTTGATATTGAAGTAATCCAGGCAGATGAGATCCAAAAAGCGACCGGTCATCATGAATGAATCATCAAACGCTGCCGCTTGACCAACGTCCAACAAGCAGGCATCTGAACATTCCAAGCAGCCATTTTGGACCGAACACTTCCCGTCAACAAGATCCCGATCAGTCACAAGCAACAGGACCAGCACCAGGATGCGCAGAGACATTGTTTTAAAAAATCTGAAAAATTCATCGAGTTCTATATCCACTGATCCAATCTCTTATGTTAAGCTTCAGGGAAATCATTTTTTTGTTGATTCTGCAAAAACCAACTGTTGAAAAAGGCTGAAAATTGTTGGAGAGCACAATCACCTGTATTGGAAGAGATTGACCATACGGAATTTTTAGTTTTGCTCTGGTTTGCATGCAAATTAGATTGTTATTGCCAGCGCTATGCACAAAAATCAAATTTTTGTTTGCAAATTTCAGAAAAGGGACCGCAGAGAACTGAAGTTTAAGGTTTTGAATAGCATGAGAAGGTTAAAAAGGATGAAATCCAACTTTGATTTAACGGGATTCACTTAAAACGAAGCGAGAAACAAAAAATGGTGAATTCCAGGGAACAGTGCACATACCTGAACAAGGGGTTGGAGTGAACTGAGTGAAACCAGTCAATTGAACCAACCCCTGAGACCTCCTGAGTAGACTTGATCAAGCATGAGGGAGAAGGCTTTGGTTGTTATTATTACTTCCTGCCTCTCCCCAGATGAACTTATTCCTGTTGAATGTCACTCGGCATAATTGCTCCTACGTGACAAGAAAGTGTGGGAGCATGAAAAACGTTTCTAAAGCACTTTTCTCTGACTTGGTGGGAGTACACAGGAGCTTTTTCTTGTTTATCAGGGGAGATTTGTGGTCCAATAAAATTCAGGACCACAATATATAGCGGTTTCCTGTCGGTGATGTTGGCAAGGGTCCGTAAAAGTTGAGGGTAAGTAGCTCATGGGTATGGGTGGAGATGATTGGCGAAAGTTCTGTGCCTGTAATTGTCGTGGGGATGTTGTACTTAAAACAGAGAGTGCATTCCTGCACCCGTTTCCACACGTCTTGTCGTAGTGAGGGCCAGTGATATCGCTGCTGCAAGGTCTTGTAAATCTTCTTCCAGCCGGCATGTCCTAATTTGGCGTGGTATTTGTCTATAATTTGGAGTCTGTCTTTGTCTTTGGGAACTTTGCAAGCGTCGCCTGCGTTGATGCAGACCCTGCTCAACGCATTGGGCCCTTTAAGCAGTTTGCCAGGTTTGTGCACGAGTTTCAATTTGAACGGCGCCAACTTGGTCTTTAGGTAGATTAGTCTGGTTGTTTTAAGTTTGCCCAGCAGGGCTGCTTTGTGGTCCGTGTAAACTGTAAAGCTGCGCATTTCCAAATAGTGGCAAAACGTACTTGTAATGCTCCAAACAATGGCGAGTAGTTTCCTCTTGGAATTGGTATACCGCGTTTTGGTGTCCGACAGCACTCGGCTAGCATACTCAATGACCCGGGGGTGGCCCTGTTCATTGATTTGGACCAAGATTGCCCCCAGGCTTGTTGATGATGTGTCGCAGTGTACTTCTGTATGTCAGGTTGGGTTGATTCTCTCCAGGCGGGCAGATTCAGCCAGGATCTCCTTGATATGGGCAAAAGCTTGCTCTGCCCTGGCGTCCCAGGTGAGATAGGTCAAGGGTTTTGCCGGTATGATGTTCCTGAGTGCCTTCTCCGCTTCTGCAAAGTTCATGGGAAGGTGCGCGTGGAGGTAAGTTGCCATACCCAGAAAACCTTGAAATTGTCAAGTGGTCTCTGGTCGCGGGAATTTACTGAAGGCATCCATGTTCTTCTCAATTGGTCTCGTCCCCATCTGGTCGACTTGGTGTCCCAAAAAGGTGATACACTTAGCCAGGAAGGTGGACTTCTTGGGGTCGATGGCTGCCCCAGCTGCCGTGAGATCCATCAGCACAAGGTTGAGGTTGTCGCGAACCTGTTCAAAATTTGTACCATAAACAATTATGTCGTCCATGTACACTAAACACCTGATGAAAAGATGTTTCCGCAGGATGTAGTTGACAGCTTGCTGGAATGCGGCAGGTCTTGAGGCCAAAAGGCATCACCCATTACTGCATCTGGCTGTGTGGTGTCCAGAATGCTGTCTTCTGCCGGTCAGGGTACGCTATTGGTAAGTGATGAAAGGCTGAGTGGAGATCAATGGTACAGAAGTACTCATTGTGTTGTCCGAGCGAGTCCAGTAGATCTTGGATCACTGGCATCAGGTAGTGGTTGTCACTCAGGGTATCATTTAGCGCTTGGTAATTCTTGACAAGTTGCCAGCGTTTGTTATGCGGCGCCTTTGGGTTGTAGGATTTCTTTGTCAGGAAGGCTGGCAAGTTGAATGGCGAGGATGCCGGTTCGATGATGCCGGCCTTGATATATTCATCCACCAGGGCGTTGAAAGGTATCCTCATCTCCGCTGACTGTCAAAAGGAGCCGGTTGCTGGTATCTCGTTGGATATGGCAGTAAGTGTGACGATATGTTTGGGGAAAAAACCTCGTTGTCCAGACCACTGGTGTATGCCCTTGGCGTGTTTACACAGGATCCGCGTGACCTGCTGGCGTTCCTTTGTGGAGCCATCTATAAAAGAAATACCTTCCCCTTTTGCAAGCATTGGGGGGGCTCGGTTGCGGGATGTTTGCTGAAAGCCTACAAAAGAACATTTGCCATTGATCGTCAGCGCAACCAGTAGCTGCAAGAGCGCGGTGCAGCCGAGGATAATTGCGGGTTCAAGCAGCAAAGGGAGAACCAAAAAAGGAATGTGATACTCTGCTTTGCGGAAAAAAAATGATATCTTGGCAGAGTGGCTAATCGGAACTGCGGAGGAAGTTAAAGACGTATGGACTGACATACTGAGCAGAGCTGTTGGCAGACGCAGGGACTTGATCAGCCGCGGAGAGACAAAAGCATGGGATGCCCCCGTGTCGACCAAGGCCGGAACCGTGTGATCCCCGATCTGTAGCTTCAGGATGATTGGTGGAGGAGCAGCGGAGTCAGCTGCTACACAGTGTGCCGCATTCACTGTGGCTTGCTGGCGTTTCCCTGGTTTGTTGAAGGACAGTATTTACTAATATGCCTGGCGGCATTACAATGAAAGCAAAGAGTTGGGTTCGCCTGGTCAGAAGTTGACGTTGCTGATTGCGTTGTCGTCTGGGCAGGTTTCAAAGTGGTTTGTTGTCCTCCAGAAGCAGCGTTACCATTGCGTCAAAGGAGAATCCTGCAGTTCTGCGGTGAGTGCCGGACGTTGCGTTGGTGCCCCTTGCACCATTGTTTTGGAGGCAGGTTTGGCCGGTTCCCTGATGTCTGCTTTGATGAAGTGGATTTCGCTTCGGCAACTGGTTTAGCAGCTGGTCTGGCGGTCGCATGATTGTGGAGCCGGAATTTTTCTGCTTCTTCCACAGCTTTCTCCCAGGTCAGGTTGCGGTCGTTGGACCATTGTTCTCGGAGTTTGATGCGGAGTTTGTCAGAGACTGAGGTCAGCAACTGGTTGATCAGCATTTTTTGCCGGATGTTGTCTGCGGAGATGGGTTTGTCGGGGGTTGCGCCGGTGAACAGGTTGAAGGTGTGTTCCAGCCGTTCTCCAAAGTTGACAAAGCTCTCTCCGGGGTTGGGTTGAGCCTGTAGGAACTGGTCCAACCGGTCCAGATGCGGAGTTGGATATGCTCGGGCAAGTGCTGTTGCTAGGGCCTTGAACTCGATGTGGCCTTTGCGAAACAGGATTGCCACAGATGCCTGGATCTCCGGACGGGTGTTGTGGAGTAAGCAGCGGACCTTCATGTCCAAGGTGACGTTGTCAATGGTGAGCATACAACGTAGTCCCTCAGCGTAGTCCTCAAAGGGTTCTTCCTCCTGTTGTTTCGGTAATTCAGAAAGGCAAAGCTCACCAGAGTTGCGGGCCGGCAGGGGCGGTAGCTGCGGAGTTGAAGGCGTAGCCGGTGATGGTGCTCCGCTCGTTGATGAGAGGAATGACCACGGCATGGCGTTCGGGAACTGTGCAGCTTGGAGTTGCCACCCAGGTGGCAGTAGCCAGCCCTGGGCTAACGTGGCTGGTATGAGATTCTGCTCAAGCAGCGCGATAAGGTGCTGTCGTTTGGTCCTGGCCAGCTGGCCGAGGTTGTATGCTTGTATAAGATATTTAAGGGTGGGCACTGGAACCATTTCCCAACCTGATGGTATTGCTGGTACTGGAGCCTTTGGCGCAGGCGTGGCCGGAATAAGTTGCAATGGACCAGCCTTGGCGTTGTCAGCGTTCTCCATGTTTGGCGGGTTGTAGGGCAGTGCTGCGGCCTTAGAATTTTTGGTTGTACAAACCATTCACTCGTGGACAGGAGTCAATCAGGAGGTAGGGTTCGGACCGGACGAGCCCCCAATAAGAGGTTGTCAGAAATAAATGTCCTTGCCTCCTTGCCACAATGTAAAATGGTCGTATTGATTTCACCACAACATATAAGAGTCACTAAGTCACACATTAAAATAAGAAGAAGTGCTCAGGTTGTGATCTAGGAGCAGAATGCCTTTGGGAGCTCCCCGCTGGTTCCACCTCTCCTCTGGTCCTCCTATCCAGAAGTCCGGGTGATGCAGACAGGTCGGTTGGACAACACGAGGTTCCCCCATGCTTGGCTAGATGCTGCTGTAAGGGAGAGCCTTACTATTCAACGCTACCTCTTTCATGCCACCCCTAGGAGCGCCAGCCTCTCATTGAGTGACTTCAACTGTAATGCTTTAGTGGTGTAAAATGTAAACGGAAACTCCAAGGGACAAATAACATAGTGCACATATAAAACACCTTTTTTAAATAACTAAAAATATATGGTACTTTCCTGTTATCTCTGTACCTCATTCCTAGACCACACCACCATCCAGACAAATCTTAGGACAAGTTCATAATCACAATGACCTACCAGAAACTGTGAATTTTATTTTTCTGCAATCAGCTGAAAGTTATGTTGGGAGGCGGTTTGGTAAAGTTAGATTTGGTCAGGTTATGTTAATTAAAAGATATTCGATATTTGGGAGGCAGTTAGGTAAAGTTAGGTTAGGTCAGGTTATGTTAATTAAAATATATTTGTAACTAACATAACATAACCCCACATAGGTTAGGTTCCACATAGGTTAGGTCAGGTTATGTTAATTAAAATATATTTGTAACTAACATAACATAACCTGACCTAACCTAACTTTACCCAACCACCTCACAAAATCTGATGAAATAATTACAGTATTTTCTGGTCATGTTTGGAAGTCATTTGCACAAATCAGGAAAGTACAGTACCATATATTTTTATTTATTTTAAAAAGGTGTTTTTATATGTGCACTATGTTATTTGTCCCTCAGAGTCTCCCTTTACATTTTATACTGCCAAAGCACAGTTGAAGCCACTCAATGAGAGGCTGGTGCTCCTATAGGGGTGGCATGGAAGAGGTAGTGTTGAATGCAGCAGCACTGAGTGCAGGAAGTTGTACCATAGTCTCATCTGGGTTACCCCACCTCCTGGTTACCATCCCCAGCAGAATCAAACCCCACACTAACCTCCAGGAACATGGCGGCCTTGGGGCGTGCAGCTTCATGAGGGCAGCCTTGGCCCTGATCGGCTGCGCAAAATGTTCAAAGGCGTAGTCGATGGCAGCTACATCTTTCGGCCCTTACCAGTTTTACTGTGGCTACAATCTTCCTATCAGTGCTTTGGAGTACAATGATTGCTATCACCCCTGGGGATGTTTGTTAACTCTTCCCTGGCCAAGTTGGATTTTTTTGTGAAATCCGCTGGCACTACAGGTGGATAAAAAAACGAAAACAGTGTATGGGGACTTGGGGAGTCGGGAAAAATCCTGGCTTTCTTTGGTAAAAAATTTTGCCTGGAAAAAAGAATGTTCCCTCCAGCTTGTTTTCTTATTCCCCTACGCAGTCCTTCTCAGACCTGAAGATCCTTACCAAACTAGATCACATGAGGTTAATCATGCCAGGTATAAATTCATAATGTAGACTGAAAATTCCACAGCTCATCCATAACCCTTTCAATCTTCTCCACCTCCTGTGTGCCACAAATCCCAACTTTCATTGGAAAGGAATGTTTGGAACAAGAACCTTGAGAAACACTCTGAACAAGGTTCAGAAAACCTGAGGAAAATTACCACTGGGGAATAACCTGAAGTGGAACAAATTGTTGGAACTTTCCCTTTGTAGGGACTGAAAATCTCATGAAAAGCACCGACAAATTCAAAAACATCTAAAACTAAAAAGATCTTGAAGCTTTGAGCTGAGGATCAGGTCAGAATTGTGAAAGTGAGCAAAAGTCCAACCTCTGAGAATTGCAGCCATTGCCTTTTCATGGGTGAACCCTGACTTTGCCTCACCTTATCTGACCTGGGGCAATTTTTCCAAAAAAATTCATAATACAGTATTGCTCAGATGGGCATTCCATACTCATGCCTAATACAAGAGTAAAAGATGTTGAGAGCATAGTAAATCTTTCAAAAAAAATTACCTTAAAAATTGGGAAGTTCTGCTGACAGATGAGCTCCCTGATTACGTTTGCAGACTCTCTGGCATCTGGCTTGATCATTGCAAAGGTCATGTTCCACATGCTGATGCTGTACCCAGCAAATATTCAGCCATTTTCCAGTCAGGAGTAGAGACACAGGCAAAAATATCTCTTAAATCTTTGGTATTTCATGGGTGGGTGGATATGGGTGGTTTTTTCAAAAATTGCTGATTTTTCCACAGCTGTTTTCCTGCCAGGTGTAAGAGACACAGGGGCAAAACACCCGTAAATCACCCATTTTTCATGGATGGTTGGGAACAGGAGATTTTCAGACTTTCTTTCAGAATTGGTGAATGTGTGGGGGGAAATTTTCCAGGACTGGCACTAAAAAATGGCGCAGCTCTGTTCTCTGTAGGGTGCAGCCCTGCGCCCTACAGAGCTGCACTGTTCTCATTCAGAGCTGTGCCATACAGAGACCAGAGCTGCACTGTTCTCTGTATTATAGTGAAATGGCACAGCTCTATTCTCTATATAGCACAGCTCTGTTCTTTATATGGCCCTGCTCTGTTGAATTTGGGTGTGCAGTTGAATGAAATTTGCATTACTTCAGCTTTTTTTTTTTTTTAAATATTAAAAGTTAGAAAATGGAAAAATTTTCAAAATTATTACAATTAAAATGCTTTTCAAAACCATGATTAATTTTAGCTTTGGAGGTTTTATGGACCTTTGCTGATTCCTGAATTTTGTTTGTCAGAAAATATAATCAATTATTGAATTTAAAAGTGAAAAACTGGAAGTAAATGTTTTAAATGTTTCTCTATTTTCAGTTCACCTGAAAATAATTCCAAACCCACAGTAAGCTGTGATTTTTGCAAGGTTAATGAGAATTCAATATAGAGAACAGTTCAACACAATATTACGCAGACACATGTCACTCAGGGATGGACAGCTGCCAGAATCCAGGGTGTGACAGATGAAGCACAGTCCTGAACCCCAGAGCAGGTCTTACCCACTGAGATCATGTTAATAGAATTATTCTTGGAGCAGAAGAGTTACCCCTTTATGTACTGATAATTTTAGCTTTTCATGGGGTAATCCACCCATGAAGTGGTGGATCCCACAAAATTTGTAGTGCAACATACAGTCAAATTTTGGAATCCAACCTGCTAAAACTTGTATGTCAATATTTCTGGGAAAACCTTCTCTTTGTGTGTTGAGCAAAAAAATTAAAGTCCTGTACTGGAATACTTGGTCTTTTAATTCTGTTGTGCACTCTTGTAAAATTGTGTATGTGTGTGTATGAAAAAATTACAGTATTCTTTGTGTGACAAAAAAAGAAATGTCAGCGCTCTAAAGGAGAAAATTGCTGGTTGTTTTGTGCACCTACCAAGTACTGCTTTTCAATATGTATATAAGTACTTGTACCCTATCAATAATTTCCAAGAAATAATTCCTGACTCATCAAGGTGTAGAGCTTGATAATCTGTCCTTTAAGTTTACAACTCTACACATTTTGCACAATCCAAAGTCTTGTGCAAAAGTGTTGACAAGTAAAAGTTTTACCATTGTATATAATTGAATTCATCTAATGGACTTGCTGTCTAACACCCTTGTCCATTGCACAAATCAAGTCCATTAGATGGGGGCTGACTGGAGCAGGGAATAATATCTTGAATAGTCAGTTAAAATAAATCAACACAATTCCTTGACTGAGAAGTTGTCCATGTCAAATTTTGTTTGCAGTCTCTATGAATGTTTATGTAGAGAGATTTGACTGAATTTCCTTTACATATACGTAAGCCTAGGCATTATACTACTTTTGATGTAAACTAGAACTTTTTCAATTAACTACAGGAAAGATGATGTGAAATAACTTGATTTTTATTATCTGTTATTGATTCACAGAACCATGGTTTTGCCGTGTTTTATCCACATTCACTTATTCCCACAAATGAGATTCAAATCGAATTATGCATTAAAGTGTTATTATACTAGGTTCCAGCACCGGTCGCAGTAAGTGTTTACCCTCCCTGATACAAGATGGAGAACGACATTGCTTCCTGGGATACATTGCTTTGTGAGCGTTTGTTTGCTGAATGAATAGGTGGGGGTTGGATGAAAGTAAGTACCATATTTTTTGCAAATGTACCGGGTGTTGAAAGTAATTATCTCTGGCGGGTTCTGAATTTTGCTACGACCAGCATTGCTGCAAAATGATTGTTTCGCATATTAAATGCGCTGAGAATAAATTCCGTACAATAACTTCTTTCATCAGTCGGATAAAATATCGTTTCTGAGTTTTTCTGAAAGTAAGGCGACCATTCTAAGATTTGTTACAAACCTGTGAAGACTCCCAAGATCTGCATTGTCCTTGAATCCTGATTGGCGGAAGGAACGTTGTGTCTGACCTCTAGGTGTTCAAAACTGAACACAAACTGGTACGCATTTTGATTTGAGCTAGGTGTCGCCCGTGGCTCACGTTACGCAACTTCGGACAACTTCAGTGTTCGGTGCAAATGAGAGTCAAAAGCGCCTGACGGTATTTTACTGACTATTTTCGTGGCGCTCAGGGCTTCACTTGATCACCACTGAGTCAAAATTGAAATGAAAACGTGAGCTCATGGATCAGTTGGTTGATTCATAGTTACAGAGTACAATAGTATATTTTCAAAGTACAAGGGTAGCCATGTAGTGATTATGGAATTATGGTATGTGTATCATCTGCTGCTGGTGATGAATTAATTTTTAAAATCAATGACCAATATATAAAACCAAAAAACTGTACCTTTTTCGCTGGTTCCACATGAACAGCAAGACAATGCAAAAATATTTTCAGTTTTAACTTACATCAAGAGATGATTTCAATTGATTGAAAATAGTGACTTATCAGCAGATTAATTTCGAAGAATTGGAAAAGAAACATCTTTGTGACTTCATGGGTTGATATTGAAACTTGATCGGAGCTCGAAGTCTTGCTCAAGGAACAATTGAGCACAAACCCATGTGCAAAATTGAGCGTTGCACCAACTTGTTTAAGCTTTGATGAAAATGCAATGACTTGGAAGGTGCAGAAAATTCAGACACAGTGATTGGTTGACGTGAGACTGATCAAGGGATTCTAGTCCCAAGAAAAAGCAACCTCTTTGTTTTTGTCACAGATGAGTCAGATGAAAAGGATTTTTACGACAAATGGGCAGAAAAACACATGAATTCAATGCGCAAGTGCTGGACTTCCAGATGTCAGGAACCTTTTTGTGGGTGTGGGTTGTACTGTTGTTCATGGCTTTCTCCGAAGTTTTTATACCAGGATTAGTTTATTGGGACGTTTTATTTCATGTGGGTAATTTTTCCAGTAACCAGAGGCAGGGATAGTAAATCATTGCCAGGGATTTTCACGTGAGATTTTTCAGCCATTCTGGGTTTTCTTTCCCGCAAAAAAAAAATGTGCAAGGGTGCTGGTTTTCGGGGAGGCAGAGAGTTTTTTTTTTTGCCTAGGTTAAATTTTGAAAAGTCAACGTGGAGCCACCTACTGGTTGAATGCAGGGGAAGAGTTACTCCCATCTTCCTGGTCGCTGAAACAGTTTTTTCTGTTGGAGTTTTTCATGACCCCCTTTCTACGCATTATTACTGCTGAAAGCAAATGCATTGCACTTACATTTTTTTGGCAGTTCTGCCCGCCGACTCTCGGTGAAAAAATTGGTGTTTACAGTAATTTACAATTCTGATCCCTCCGGAAAAAAGGGTCAGTCAGGGCTTCTTTGATGCCAGCTTTCCGCGCCCGCTGACCTCCCCTCCCCGTCCTTTGAGATTTTTCTGGTGAGGGGGACATGTGCCATTCTTGAATGCAATTCATTCGGAATTTCGGAATTCATTTGAATTTACAAAGTGAACAAATATGTTAGATTGAATGGGTTTTTGAGGTTGGTTAGGTTAGTTAGGTTAGGTTAGTTTATTGCAAAATTTTTGAAATTATTTGAACAAATATATTTGATTCTTTGGGTTTTCGGGTAGGTTTGATTGGGTTTAGTTAAGATAGTTAGGTGTTAGGTTAGTTAGGTGTTAGGTTATTTAGGTGTTAGGTTAGTTAGGTTAGGTTAGGTTTGGTTAGTTTACTTCAGTTGGGTTTGTTTTAATATTTAATTTTTACTATTTTCCATTTG